GTGTGAGGGGTGGCTCCCGTCTAGGGAGGGAGGAGGAGGAGTCTGGCTGCAGGCCCAGAGCCCCGAGGTGGGAGGCCAGGGTGGGCATGGGAATAGGGGCTGAGGGCAGGAATGGCCCAGCAGGGACCTGAGTGGCCTGTGTGTTTACTAGGGGAGCCTTTGAGGTCTCTGGAGGCAGTAGGGACACAGGGATACCCCTCTGGGTGCAGTGGGCACGTGGTTCTGGAGGGAATATGTCGTTCCCTGGGCCCTCCTGCCTTCCGGATGACTGAGTGCCATGTCGCCCTGGCTCAGTGACCCCTGTCCCATCCCTGGAGCAGCAGGCAGGGCCATTAAAAGCAGAGGGAAGGCGAGCCAAGGAGTCGGACGTGGGGAAGCTGAGAGATGGTGGCTGGGACAGGACCTGTCCCAAACCCTCATCAGCTCTGGCTTGTCACCCCTCACATCTTCCCTGGGAAAAGCACATTGCTAGCTGCCGGGCCAGCTCTCCGGTCTCTTGTCTGGCCTGCTGCAGTCCCCTAATTGGTCTCGTTTCTCCCCTCAGAGCCATCTGCATGTAGACACCACTGCAGCCAGATTAATCTTCCTAACACTGCGCTCTGCACCCTTCCCCCAGCCTCAGTGGCGGTGCTCTGGGTGGAGGCAGGCCCAGCCTGACCCAGGATCAAGGCTCCCGCCTGGCCCGTCCACCCTGCAGCCCTCTCCTGTGCAGCCCTTACCACTCTCTGGTCAGGCAGACATGTGGCTCTTGGTCCTGGGGATGCCTTGCACAAGATTTCTTCCTCTATGTCTCCCGCCTCGGCCTCCTCCACCCTTTGCCCCTGCCCTCAGCAAGGTCTGAGCTCCCGGGCAATCCTGGCTCAAAAGTGCTGCCACACCGTGAGGCCAGCCCGCGGGGCTACCCACTCTTAGCCCAGGGCTGGGAGCTTTAGCAGGCGTTCAGGTCTCTGTTCTGCAAAGCAGCAGCATCGCAAGGTGGTGTCCCCCTGTGTGACACACGAGGGCCCTGGGGGTCTGAGACACTGAGGGACTAGCCCAGGGTCACAAAGGTAGAAAGTCTCAGGGCCCAGAGGCCTCTTGCCATCGAATCCTGTCCCACCTTGGGATCACAGCTGTTCTGCATGCAGAGAGCACTTCAAAGGGCAATTGAGGTTGAAGGCAATGCTGTGGATTCCAGGGAGTCCCGGAGGGAGTCCCTTGGTCCCAGAAGGACTGAGCCACTTACCTGGGGCCACAACTGCTTCAAGGGGACAGCTCAGGGTGGGGCACAGAGGTTTAGCGGTGCAGCAGCTCAGGCTGCAGCCTCCACTCGCCGGTCTCCACTGGACCTTGACATCGTGCACAGCAGTCCTTGCAGCCGAGACCCTGGAAAGGGAGCCTGCATCCGGGAATCAGGGAAGGGCGCCTGCAGCTGCCCGATGGGCTTGTGTTCGATCCCTGGGAGCTTTCTCTGGGTACCTGCTGGGACGGCATTATGGGAAGTGTCTCAAAGGCAGAGATGGTGAGGAAAGTGCAAGAGACCAGCTTCGTGCCTCTCTGGGGAGCCATGTGACCTCTGTCGGGTTCCATACCTCTGGAGCCTCAGTCCCCACCCCCCAGGCCATATAGGAGGCTCAGGTCCTTCCCTCTGTGGTTGTGCACATGGAGGAAGTGAAATCGAGGAGAAAGATCCTTGCCTAGTGTGCTTTGAGACCAGCAGAGCTGCGGTGGCAGACACTTGCCCTGCTCTGCCCCTTCCAGGCAGCAGTGGCCATAATTAAGGCCGCAGTCCCTGGGGCCACTGTGTTGCTAAGGTTGTGTCTCTGTGTCCTGTCCTGTGTTGGCAAAACATTCCCAGCCTCTGATTTAGTAACTTGGGCAGAACTGGCTGCCTGGGGGAAGGGAAATTTTTTCTCCCCTGGATCACTGGGGTGGGGGAGTCCTGGGCTCCAAAAGAAGAGGTCCCAAGTGTGTGTGTACAGGAGAGAGGGCACAGCGCCCAGGCCGCCTTCTGCCTGGCAGGCACCCCTGCTTCTCCAGGTCCACTGGGCAGGCTGAGGTGGCAGCCTCAGCCATTGCTGCCCACCCGCCAAGCAGTGGTGCAGACTTCAAGGGGCCTTTCTCTGTCTTTCTCAGTGAGCTTCTCAGGGCCATGCAGGTGAGCAAGGTGTGCTGTGTGCCGAGCAGGGGGCTCTCTTGATGCCATCAGGGCCGGATGAGAATAGGCTCTCCACATAGGCAGTCTTTGCCCTTTGTTTTGGTACTGGGCATCGAACTCAGGTCCTTGTGCTTGTGAGGCAGGTGGGAACCACTGAGCTAAGTCCCTGGCCCATGCCCTTTTGGATTTCACTCATTGAATTAAGTATGCAGCCAAAGCTACAGTGCCTTCAGCCATGTTTTAGAAAGTTTTAATAATTTTTATTTTTGGTAGCCTTTTCGAAGTACAGATGGAGTATGTCTCCATCAGAATGCTCGGTACCATGGCTTGAGTTATATGGCTTAGTGGTAGAGCTCTTGCCAAGCATCCACAAGGCCTTAGGTTTGATCGCCTGCACTACAAAAAATACAAGCAAATATCAGAATACTCAGTACTAGAAATGTCTTGGATTTGGGAATATTTACATACACGTGAGGGAATGGTGGGGGGTGGGGCCTATGTCCAAACACAAAACTCATTTATGTTTCTTACTTTCCTGTCTCTATCTCCTGGAGGTAATTTACAGACTATTTCTAGCACACCTGTATTTTGACCGTGACCCATCCCAGGAGATGAGGTGGAATTTTCCACTTGTGGTGTCGGTTCCACGTTAAAAACAGTTTTGGATTTTGGAGCATGTTGGACTTTGGATTTTCAGATTAGACATTCTCAATTCATATAATTTACGTGGCATAAATCCCCCTATTGTCAATGGGCCTCACCTGTTCTATGTGGATGCATCTTAGTTGATTTGAAATATAATGTCATCGACGTTAGAAGATGCATTATGTACTGAGCCCATCCATTTGTGTGCCTCGGGTCTGAGTCCTGACGGTCTAATCCTGTTACTGGGATCATCAGTGAAGTGGGGTGAGGGCCCGTCCTGGGCTTTCCTGCCCCATCTCAGCCTTTCCCGCTCACCTGTAAGGTGAGGAGGGCCTTTATGTGGGTGGCATGGTGTGAGGCATCACTCCTGCGTCCTCCATGCCTGTCATCTTTGTCCAGTCTGGGGTGGAAGCCCAGGCAGGTAGAGGGTGACCAGGAGGCGGGACCCTTGGCCATCGCTGGTCAGAGCGGATTTGAATGTGGGGTCCATTTTGCCAGGAGGGGCCTGAGCTCTGGGCTTCATCTACACCGACAGGGGCCACTTCCCCACCTCCTGCCCCGTGCTCACGCTGGAGGATAAAGGTCCTGCCTCGGTGTGATTCCGTTAAGTAGATCAGGTGGCCGTGCCCCCTCCTGCCTCCACTCAGTCTGTGGAGCAGAGATTTGCTCAAGATCTGTGAGAACACTGGGCTCTGTACCCCAGCAGCTCCCCGACACACTCACATTCTGGTCATCTGCTCCCACTGCTGACCCTGGCTGTACCCCTGTCTTGGGAAAGAGCCCCACGCGTGGCCTGAGTGCGTCTCCTCCCAGTGGCCATGGGACACCCCTCATCTGCGAGTGGGAACCCCTTCCTTCCAGCTCTGCTCACCTCCCTCCCAGGTTGGCCACACCGACGGGGCCATTAGGATACATTTGGCCACACCTGGGACCTGGCACCAGGCTTGGGCGGCCAGACACGGCATCTGGGTAAGCAGGAGGAGGTGTTGGATGGAACCAGGGCCCCAGTGGGCTATTTCTGTAACTCAGACTTCTTAGCAGCTACTCTGGACTTTGGGCTTCGGGTCTGACCTTCCCTGTCAGTGGGCTCCCCTGGGCCTGCATCTCGTCCTCAGCCACACCCCCTCTTCTGCCAGCCAGAACCGGGCTCCTGCTGCCCGTTTGTCCTTCTCACCCTCGGGGAGACCCACGCACCCTTCGGGGTTAAAGCCCTGCGTTCTGACTAAGCTTTGGCCAGTATGTTCACCGTTAACCTGCCTTCTCTCCCCTGAATTCCCGGGTTCACTTCTGGATCATTTGACTTTGCCCCACGGCAGGGTCTAAGTCCCCTTGTGGTTATCCAGCTGTTCAGTGTGTGTACAGCTTGTTTCCAGCTGGACATGAGCTCCAGGATGCGGGCGTGTGGCTGCCACATTTGCCTGGCGCTTTGCTAGACATCCAGGGGGTGATTCCTGCTGAAAGGCAGGGCACCGGTGTGCTGAGCAGCAGATGAGATGGGGTTTGTCATTTGTTCTCCTGAGGCCCTCTGTGGGTTGTGTCCTTGGTCCCAGTCCCAGACCCTGGGTAGGTGCATCAAAGGAATTACTTCCAGCATTTTACAGAGAGGTTGGGAATCCAATGCTGAGGTGACAGAGTGAGCGACAGAGAGGCTGGGACTTATCCCAGGCATTCTGGGCTCGAGCTGAGGCTGCAGGTGGCTCCTCTTCCTAGGGGTCTCCTCCTGTGTGTGCGTGTGCGTGTGCGTGTGTGTGTGTGTGTGTGTGTGTGGCTAGATGTGTGTTCCTGTTTGCCTGTGTGTGTGTCTAGGAAGCAAGCACAGTTTTATACCCATCCAGCACAGGCCTGCCTGGCCCAAGGAGTAGTGTGGAGCTGTGTGACTGTGTGTGGGCCCACGTGACTGGGAGTGCACCGGAAGCCTTGGCCGTGGCCCTCTGATGTCGGCTGGCACCATTGCCCTGCCGGCCCCTGCCACCTTGCCGGCGTGACGTGCTCCACCCATCAGAAGTAGAGAAGAAAGCACACATGGGCCCTCAGTGAGCCTGTGCCCCGGGACCTCAGACCGGCCATGGGGAATGGCTGGAGGGAGCTGCCCCAGCGCGTGATCCACACCCCACGTCCCTGTTCTTGCCTCTTCTCTCCCCGGGGCCCATGTTTGGAGGGGAACTGGGATGTGGGGCTCAGGGAGGAGCCTGCTGCTTCACGCCCCCCTGCCCTCCAGCCCGAGGAGCTCACCAACGCCCTGGAAATCAGCAACATCGTCTTCACCAGCCTCTTTGCCCTGGAGATGCTGCTGAAGCTGCTCGTGTACGGCCCCTTCGGTTACATCAAGAATCCCTACAACATCTTCGACGGTGTCATCGTTGTCATCAGGTACGGCGTGCCTCGCGGCTCTTCCTGGGAGGAGGAGTCTGGGGTTCGGCCCTTGAGCCACCACCCCTCCGAGGTGAGGGCCCTTCTGTGGCCCCCACGCTCCAGCCCTTCCTCTCCTGGGCACAGCTGGTTCTGTGGGACTGGGGCCTATTGATCCTCTGGCCAGGCCCCTCTCCTCTCCCCACATCTACCTCTTGTCCTCAACCCTGCCCAGTGGATGAGAATTAGGGACTCGGCTTTGGAGAGGAGTTGGAGGAAGAGGGAGGCCTGGCCTGCTGTCCTTGCTTGCAAAGGGCTTGGAAACCTACACACACACCAGCAACTTGCTTTGGGGTTTCCAAGACTGAGAAAGTACTGCAGACCCCCAGGCCAGGGCCAGGAGAAATGCTTTATTGCTTTTTGAAATTGGCTTTAGATTTCACTGAAGAACAAAGCACACATTTCATACCTCAGTGCAGTTGCATGGGCCGGATTTGGGGAGGGGGCTGCTCTGTCTCTCAAGGCAGGGCTGGGGGCTAGGGGCTGCGCTGCCCCCTGGAACCCTCACCACCTCAGGGCACCCAGGGCCCATCCAGTTCTCCTCCTCCTGTGCTGGGCTGGCTCAGGTGCTGGGTCCCCCGAAGGGGCGGGCAGCAGGTGGAGGGCGGGGTCTCAGGCTGCCTGTCCGCCCCCTCGCAGTGTGTGGGAGATCGTGGGCCAGCAGGGGGGCGGCCTGTCGGTGCTGCGGACCTTCCGCCTGATGCGGGTGCTGAAGCTGGTGCGCTTCCTGCCGGCGCTGCAGCGGCAGCTCGTGGTGCTCATGAAGACCATGGACAACGTGGCCACCTTCTGCATGCTGCTCATGCTGTTCATCTTCATCTTTAGGTGGGCGGGGAGTGGCCCTTGGG